ATGAGCAATGTCTGCAAATTGAATCTCTTTGCAATAATGAAAATTCATTTAATCTTCTTCTCAAATAATTATACAAGGACTTTAGAGATCTTCTACTTGATCAGACTATCAGGCCACCGGACTCAATTGAAATAAATAATGAGAATGAATGAGAAATAGATTATATACTGATCAGTTAAATAAGCTAGAGTAAGCTGCAGTATAAGATGCACTGAAAGAAATTTAATGAGAATTCTTTATAATATCTTACTCATAACTTCAAAAGATCATCATATGCAATATAAGATTTTCATGAGGTCAACTCTACTAAAGCTGAATCACTAAAACATCTAGATGAATGAGTAAGAGTATGGGAGATGAGCAGCTATTTGAAAGATGAAGATGATGATGATCTTTCAGTATGAGAGCATACCTGTTTCTAGATCAGAGGGTCATGTTAGGCTTAGCACTGAGGTTAGATTTTGTGGGATGGTTGAACCTTCTATTCAGAGGAGCTAGCTAGGTTATTGCTATATTACATACAAGCAATCACGTATGAGTGGGGTAGTTGTTAGAACAACATCACCCAGGTAGACACTGCTATACCCCCCCTCACATTGCCATGTAGAATCTTGAATGCTATATGTAAAAAAGGAAAAACTAGCTATGCCATCCTCAAATTCATTTAAATTATGCTACATATATTAAGTTTTGACATTCCTGCCTTTTTTACCTGTAAAATCAAGTAAATCAAGGAATTGTTGAAATGCTACTGTGTTCAGAGGTTTAGTCAATTTGTTTGCTGTCATTTTTTCAGTTGAGATGTATTCAATCAAGATAATACTATTGTTCAATTGGCTATAGATGTAATGAAATCATATGTCAATATGCTTGCTCCTAGCAGTAATCACAGCTACAGTGACTAGATTGATCACATCTTTATTATCTGTCTTGATTGACAAGGGGTCATCTGCTATCAAGCTCAGATCCATCATCATGCTCTTTAATCACATTGCTTCACATATAGCCTCACTCAATGCCACATATTCAGCCTCATTGAAACTCAAAGAAATGCATGGCTGCTTGCTTGATCATCATGAAATTGATGTGCTGGTAAGCATAAAAACATAATCAGACATAGACTTCTGATCACCATTCAATGGGTCAGCCCAGTCAGAATCTGTGTATCTGACCAGCATATATGCCACATTAGGGAAACCATTCTCAGGTCTTTCATCATCATCATCCTTCGCGTAAAATATGCTGATTTCACGCGTGCCTTTCAAATATCAAATGACACGTAATAGGGTCTTCAATGCCTTAGGGGTAGGGATTGCATTCTTCTGTGCCAATAGAGAAGTCACACAAGTGATATCCAGCCACAGTTTAACTGCCAAATACTACAAGCAGTCAATGCTGTATTGGAATTGCTGTTATGTAAAATCAGCCTCTTTTTCAGAAACAGGGGAGTCATCCAAGTATAGACTCTCATCCATAGGTGTTCAGACAGTAATTGCATTATCCAGGTAGAAATCTTCTACCAATCAATTGATATAACATCAGAGGGTCAATTCAATGCCATTATTCATACATTTTACTTCCATGCCTAGATATTTTGTGAGTTTATTCAAATCTTTGATCTCAAGCTTCTGGTGCAGAACATCAACTAGCTAATTAGCATCCTTCAGAGTGTCCACAAAAATATGAAGATCATCAATATATATAGTTATATATAGATATTTTCAGGCTGAATGCCGCCAAAGGACAGGGTCATAAGGATTTGAGATAAAGCTATTCTCCTGTAGCAGAGCTGTCAAGTAATCATATCATATTTTGACAGCTGGATTCAACTCATATAGAGATTCTTCAACTGTACAAACAAGTGTACATGAAGCTCCTTCTTCAAAGTCAGTAGGTTGTCTCATATAGACTGTTTTTCCAAGTCTTTCATGTAAGTATGCCATCATTATATCCACCTGCTGTAGGGTTCAATCACATTTTGCAGTGATTGCAAACATCATATAATTCATGATATCTGTAACTACAGGGGTGTATGTTTCTTGACATGTTCTCTTTTTGAGTCAATTGCCACAAATTACTTATCTGAACTTCTTCAATACATCATCTTCATAAGCATTGAAGTCACTGAGGTGATTCTTTTTGACAAAGACTCAGCAGTCAGGTGCCACTGACTCACTGTGAAGGACATCAGAATATGAAATTAATGTTCAAGTCTTTCAATATTCAAGATCATCAATTTCACATTGCATAGATTTCCTTCAATATGACCTCATCCACAGATAATTAATTGCATCCTTGAAGCTTTTCAGCAAGCTGCTTGTAATTGAGGAAGGTGTGTATATTATGAAGACTTTCACAGATCTCATCCATAGAATGTGTAGTTTCAAAAAATCAGGAATGTTGAAATCATTCTCTACCAAATACATGATAGGGATTGAGATGTTTTCAACTTCAATTATCACAGTAGTGGTGGAATTCTTTTATATTTTCTGCACTTTTATAGGGAAAACTATGTCAGATATATCAATAATATTATCAGAAGTAGGACTCCACATGTGATAGATTGACTGGCTGTGAAATTCAATAAGTTTGCATAATTCAGCCTGAGTGAATAGTTTATCCACTGGCTTCTGTGATTCATGATGATAGACAAAAACATCAGATTCAATCTCACAGAAGTGAGTGATCTACAGTGATATGTTTATTAATGCTGAAAAAGAAATTGTATGAGAACTACAGATGAGCTTCTTGCTGTCATCATTTATGATTGCAGGTTAATACTTTCCATTATATAAGATTGTAGATGTGAATGTATTATTTGTGATTGAAATAACTATTTCTAAAATATCTGCTTAGAACTTCTTTGAAATTTCCTTTTCTATAATGATTGCTCTGGCTAATGTCATAATAATGCAGATGTCATGTTCAGATACATTATCTTGATGAGGTGATTGAGAGATAGTTGATTCTCACACTATGCTGTCAGCAATCATTAACATTGTTATCTATTGTGATTGAAAAACCCTGTCTATATCTGTCCTGATGTAGGCAGGGACTGAAAAACTGAGGTTCTTAATGAACTTAACTCAATGAGAATAATAATCAAATGCTTGATCTTTACTATATAAGAAATAGATTCATCTGAATTATGTTACATCATCTGTAATTAATATGAAATATTTTGTGTCTTAATGAGATTCTATAGAATGATTGTCTGTATTATTCAATGTGCAGCTATCATCTGTCAGATCAATATGAATCTATTCTATTGATCTTATAGTCTGTAGCATAGAGGTGATTGAGTATTTACATATCATACCTGCTTTGACATAGATGTCACAAAAGAAACTAGTCTTAGAGCTTTTGATGTGAATACTGAATAGTGAATTCTTTGCCAAAGTTATAATAACTTCTGTGTATATATGCCTCAGGTCAATATGCTACTCAGTAAACATTTTCATAGCTGTAGGTGATTCTTGAGATTGAGGTTGAGTATTGATAAGATCATTGTCACCAGTGATAGCCAAGACCTTAGTATAATCATTATTGTATATATGTGATTTTGATGTGAAATAGATTACTTTTGACTCATGATGAGTATCAACTTCTGATATCTTTTCAACTATTTTATAAATTGAACTCTGAGCTGTGTGAATCACAGTGAAAATAACATCATTAAGAGCCTTGATGATGAAATAGACCAGGGTTTTTGAATTTAAAAGTTCAT